AGCCCCTCTCTCAGAGCAGAGAGCCCCTCTCTCAGAGCAGAGAGCCCCTCTCTCAGAGCAGAGCAGAGCAGAGAGCCCCTCTCTCAGAGCAGAGCAGAGAGCCCCTCTCTCAGGGAGCAGAGGAGAGCAGAGAGCCCCTCTCTCAGAGCAGAGCAGAGAGCCCCTCTCTCAGAGCAGAGCAGAGAGCCCCTCTCTCAGAGCAGAGAGCCCCTCTCTCAGAGCAGAGAGCCCCTCTCTCAGAGCAGAGCAGAGAGCCCCTCTCTCAGAGCAGAGCAGAGAGCCCCTCTCTCAGAGCAGAGCAGAGAGCCCCTCTCTCAGAGCAGAGAGCCCCTCTCTCAGAGCAGAGCAGAGAGCCCCTCTCTCAGAGCAGAGCAGAGAGCCCCTCTCTCAGAGCAGAGAGCCCCTCTCTCAGAGAGCAGAGCAGAGCAGAGAGCCCCTCTCTCAGAGCAGATCAGAGCAGAGAGCCCCTCTCTCAGAGCAGAGAGCAGCACAGACTCACACACACACTTAACGTGTGTCTCGTTGTAGTTTATCTCTCTCTCTCTATATATATATATATATATATATTTGGGGGGAAGAAGGGAGGGAGGGTTGGGGTGGATGTTGCTTTCACAGCACCAAATTGCCCAGATCTGGTTCCCCCTTCTTCAGTCAAAGAAAACCCCCCCCCCCCCCCTGTCTCACCCCCCCCTCTCCCCTCTCACCCCCCCCACTCCCCCCCCCCCCCCCCCTGTCCCCCCCCTCCTGTCTCACCCCCCCCTGTCTCACCCCCCCCCCCTGTCTCACCCCCCCTCCCCGTCTCCCCCCCCCCCCCCCCCCCCCCCCCCCTGTCTCACCCCCCCCGTCCCCTGTCTCACACCCCCTCCCCTGTCTCACCCCCCTCCCCTGTTTCACCCCCCCCCCCTGTCTCACCCCCCCTCCCCGTCTCACCCCCCCCCTGCCCTGTCTCACGTGTGTGTGTTTTGGTGAAGTGGGTAAAGGTTGAGATTGCAAGTTAATATCATGTCTTTTTTGGTGATTTATTTTCTCTCTCTCTCTCTTTCTCTGAGTGTGTGAGTGTGATGTGACTTCCAGACTTTGCAACAACGTGTGTCCCCCCCCCCCCCCCCTCCCCAACCCCCCTCCACCCCCTCCCCCTTTATTTTTAACACATATTTATTTCTCTCTCTCTCTCTCTCCTCTCGTTGGTTTCCAGATTGCAGTTGGTGTTTTATTCGGGAGATCGGATTACTTTGGCGTGACAGAGGACACTGAGAAAAAAACACGACACGCAACATTACAGCAAAGTGCTGAATTCTGCCTGTGGCAGAGCTTTGGCCCCCACCCCAAAGAAAGCCAAGAGACCCTCTCCCTCCCTCTCCCTCCCCAAACCCCCCTCTCCCCCCTTTCCCTCCCTCCCTCTCTCTCTCTCTTTCCTTCCCTCCTTCCCCCCCCCCACTCTCTCATTCCTTCCCTCCCCACCTCCTCCCCCCCCCCCCCCCTCACCCCTCCCCTCCTCTCTCTCTCTCCTCTCTCTCCTCTCTCCCCACCCTCTCTCCACCCGAGTGCAGATTGGGGATGGAGCAGAGGGAAGCGGTGATGGGCTGTAGGCAGAAGCCGGTCGATGGGGACTTCAGGTCGGGAGGAGGAGGAGGAGGAGGAGGTGGTGGAGGTGGAGGAGGAGGAGGTGGTGGAGGAGGTAGTACTGGAGGAGGAGGAGGAGGTGTTGGAGGAGGAGGTGTTGGAGGAGGTGGAGGGAATGCCAAGGCGGCCGTCTCTCCCGCGGCTCCGATGGAGAGGTCTGGGAGTCGGATGGGGTCGGGCGAGCGGCCGGACCAGGAGGAGGAGGAGGAGGAGGAGGAGGAGAGCGCCGGCGGGAGCAGCGGCCACGACTCCAACTCCAACACCGACAGCGACAAATCAGTGCAGGGGGACGGGCCCGAGGAGCACGAGTTCTCCATCAAGGAGGCGAACTTCGCGGACGGCAGCCTGAAGCTCAAGATCCAGACCACCAAACGGCCCAAGAAGCCGCCCAAAAACCTGGAGAACTACATCTGCCCTCCGGAGATCAAGATCACCATCCGGCAGCCCGGGGACCACAGGACCCCCAGAGCCGGGAGGGGCAACAGGGGGGCGAAGGAGGAGGAGAAGAGGAAGAAGGTAACACACACACACACACACACACACACACACACAGGGGGGGGGTGTGATGGCAAAGTCACTGTCCCAAGTGTCCGACTTCCTTTTGTGTTTCCCCTCCGCCCTCCCCCTCTGGTTTGTGTTTTGTCAGACGATGAACAACATGTTGTCACAAGATGGTTGATACCCTCTTGTCTTGTTTTGACTGCGGAGGGAGGGAGGGAGGGAGGGGAGGGGGTGTGGGGGAGAGCACAGGGATATTCAGGGGCTCACAGGGAGCACTCCTCTGTCTGTCTGTCGGTCTGTCCTGGAATTGCTTTGCTGATTCACACACACACACCACACACACACACACACACACACACACACCCCACACACACACACACACACCCACACACCCTCCACACACACACACACCCACACACACACACACCCCACACACCCTCCACACACACACACACCCTCCACACACCCCCACCACACACACACCCTCCACACACACACACACACCCCACACACCCTCCACACACACACACACCCTCCACACACACCCCCACACACACCTCCACACACACACCCCCCCACACACACACACCCCCCACACACACACACACCCTCCACACACACACACACCCTCCACACCCCCACACACACCCTCCACATACACACACCCTCCACACACACACCCCCACACACACACCCCACACACACACACACACACACACACCCTCCACACACACACACACCCCCACACACACCCTCCACCCCCCCCCCCCACACACCCCCCCACACACACACACACCCACTCCAGTTAAACATGTGTTTGTCTATGGAAACTCAGCCCCAGCTATTTTCCCCCTTTTTTCCAACTATTTTAGAGACTTTACTGCTTTCCCACCCACAAAGGCAGCTGTGTGCGTAAGCGTAAGAACACTTTCTGTCTTGTATTTATCTTCATATTGTACTGCACATTGGAAACAAAAAGTAAAGAGCGAGAGGCGGGGGTGGGGGGGGGGGGGGGGTGTAAGGATATTGAGGGAGATTGGTTCCTGTGCAGATGTTCTGTCTGTCTCTTTGTTCAATGATCACAGGGAAAATTGTTCAATAGATTTTTTTTAACAGGTATTGATTCTGATTTAGAAATGGAAACGGGTAGCAAAATGTTTGACGTGTTGGAGGAAAATGGTATTTTCTTACCAAAAGACAATAATTGACTGTCAGAGCCATAGCTATGGGGGAAAGGTGACTGCAGGTTGCCTTCACACCCCCACCCCACACCCCTCAGAAGAAAGTGTTTAGTTGGGAGTTGAGGAAAGCTAAGTAAAACCATTGCACATCTGTTTAATGAAGTGTTGAGCTGGTACCTGAGCTGTTTTTTTCTCCTCCTCTCCCCATCCCCTCTCCCCTCATGACTTGTCAGCTTATTCTCTGCTTCTGGTCTCTATCAGTATTGAGAATGTTCTATTGGAAATTGGCATCCTTTGCAATTGGAACACCGCCTATCCAAACATCTGGAGTTAGGAATCAGCCTTAAGTCTGAGCGTATATTGTGAAATTAGCATTTATATTGAGCCTTGCAATTTTGTTGCTGTGGCAATTGATCCGGGTTCCACTCCAGAATGGAATTGTTGGTCCAAACCTTTCTGTGTTCCTCAGCCCTGTGATTGTTACCCTCATCGTGAGGCACAGCAATGGTCTCTGGGCCTCACTTCAGAATGAAATCTTGGCCAACATTGGTATCGCCTGGCAACACAAGACGCTAATAAGGTGACATCATGTGTGTCTGACATCATCCTTCTGGCATCTGTCCATCACTGCTTCTTTATCACTGATCAAAGGCACCCTGGTGTGTCTGTAGTGTAAACAGGGCTGGCTGTTTTGATTATCTAGGTGGTACCTGGAGTGAACTTGACCAGAGTCAGTTCGAATACAAGTGAAAATTCAGCTTCCAGTTTTGCTTGCTTGGCTGGGCAGAGCAATGTCATTGCTTATCTGAGTCCACAGTACAATAGAAACAATAACTCTGATATAGTGCAATGTAAACCTTCTTGATTACCCAGGGTTTTCTAAGGACTTTATTTGCACGGGAGAGTATATCATTGAGATTCACCAGATTGCCTCTGCACTGTGCAAAAGTTAGTCTTAAAATTGCTGAAAGAAAACTGGGTGAAAACTTGAATAACATCTTTATAGAATGGAAGCAATTTATTACAATACTTAGCTTTCATTTGATGAAAATATTGCTGACCCTTCTTAAAGGGGCCATTCCACGGTTTAGAAACACAATTGCGGTGGAATGGTTACATAGTTATGGATTCAGCCGAGTCATATTGTGTTAGTCTGTCTGTTCTGTTTAGCACAGGGGAATTGTGAAAATGGTAAGTCTCAAACAACTGTAGAAATTAGAGAGTGTATACATTGAACAGAATGCTTTCCCTTTAACTGCAAGCCCTCTGCCTCCTATTCTATCCCTTCCTATCGCTAAAAATTTCATTATCAAGATTATTGTGTCTTGGCTCAGTGTTGTGGAAGTAATTGGAACCAGTCAGTGTTAGCCAGAGCAGATTATAAAATCTCAATCCTATAACATTTGGGAGAAATGGCACAATTTCAGTCAGTTTTGTACAACTCCTCACAGCGTGATTGTTTTTAAAGTTAGTGTTTCGAATGATAAACCCTAAAAGACAAAGGTTTGAGTACCTTCATGGATTGTTTTGATAAACCCGTTGACACTTGCTTACAGGAAGGCTCTAGGAAAAGTTTGTATAAATGCCTCACAGTTTATTACTTCAAAATAGAAAAAATATGTGTTACAGTTTTATTTCATAAGGCCCTCCCCCAATAACTGCAGCTGTTAGCTCATTCCTGCATGCGTGTTTGAAGCATGTTGCACTCATACATGATACAGGAGCGACATGGGAATTTAGATTTCTGGATTGGGCATCGCTAACAATTTTACTGTTAAAAAAAATCAGCATCACAAGGATATTTTAAGGTTAGCGTTTTGCTTTCTGAACTGTTTGTTGGACTTTTCGCGCCTTAGAATACTTCAAAGCGAAATGCCAGCTGCGTGACTACAAAAATTCTGGTTTGTTGACCACGGCTGGCATTTGACTTTCAGTTTGTTACTCGGTCAAGAAAAAGGCCCGACAAATCAATCAGAGGAAATGGAGAGCAAAACCCTAGAATCCAGAAGATCTTTTTCAAAGATTTGGGATCCTGATTTTATTAGAGAATCCGTTTGTGAATTGTGAAATTGTAGGCTGCAAAAAAGAAGCCACAATTAGCACAGGGCCTTCCTGTTTGCAGATGGGGCATTTTAGGCCACTCAATGTCGATCAGGTACCCTAACGAAAAGTTCATAAGGACTGACACTTAGGAGGAAAGTATCAACGTACAGTCCTAATATAGATTAAGGAGAGGAGGATTGTGGTTCGTTCAATATTGCTAAGTGGGTCCCTAATCAGCTATGGATGTTGCAAGTATACAAGTGATGACTTAGTGGTCAGCAATGAGGCAGAGGCAAGGTATCTGGAGAGACTTACTTCGAGAAGAGAATATGAATAGTCATAAGGGATTAGGTGTGCAGACATGTTGTGAAGAGAAGTTATGGGAAAGTCCGTGAGTAAATAAAACAAGGACGTGTAAAGATTCCCAGTGAGATAAATCAGATTCAGCAAATGTATGCGTACATCATTAAACGTGGACACAGCAGAGGTGCTTGTACAGTGTTTATCAGGGTATCCAAAATGGTCTTTTTCAGTTCTGCACATTCCAGTGTGTTGGGTTTATAGGCAAAGTGTTACACTGGCCTGGTTGTGCTTATATGTTTACCATAGCTCTAAAAGCAGTGGAAATGTTCACCATCTTGCTCGTCAGCCATCATGTCTTCACAGTGGGCCCTGTCACCAATTTATTTATATGACTCGCAGGACCCTAGACCATGCCGCTCTTGCGTGTGGAAAAGGAAACTGTCTCCCGGCTTCACTGAAATTTCAGGCACGACTTTAGATAGGCAGCAGGTGGGTCTTGTCATGTGATTTGTGCCACAAAAGTCAAAAGGACATTTCTCCAAGAAAAAACATTGCTGTTTTGTTCAGAGTCGTGTGAAAAAAGAATCACCTGCGTTAAATCGTCCCCTTGCAGAGCAACATATGGCTATTCTTGGACTCTTGACCTGTTGGAGTTGTTGTGCAAAGATTGCCAGTATTGATAATTGAATTTACTTTGCTGCTGTTGTAGATCAAGAATGACACCGTCAGGCTGGTGGATGTTACAGTTTCAGTGTATGTTCCTTCTTTGGGTTTTGTTTATGGCAAAACATTTGTAGAGACGAGAGCCTGAATTTTGCATATATGTATTGATTGAATTCAATGTATATCAATGTGACAGAGCATTTCCCCAGCATTTTACATTTTGACACTTCCCTCCGCCAAGCACACTTGATCTATGGGCAGAGACTGGAAGAACTGGGCCTATTTTCACTGGAACAGGGGAGGTTGAAGGGAGACCTGATAGAGCTCTTTAAAATGATGAAGGGTTTTGGTAGAGTCAATAGGGAGAAAATATGTTCAGTGGTTGGTGAGTCAGTGACTAGAGGGCATCAATTTAAGACGGTTAGCAAGGGAGCAATGGGGGGTGTTAGCAGGAATGTTTTTACATAGAGTTGTTAATAGTGTGACCTGCTGGTTGTGGTAGTTGAGGCAGAATCCATATTAGCTTTCAGGAGGGAACTAGATAGATATCTAAAAAGGAATAATTTGCAGGGATGAAGTGGGGAAAAGACGAGTAAATGGGACAGGATGGATTGCCTTTCAAAGTGCCAACACAGATAGGATAGACTGAATGGCCATCTTCTGTCCTCTCAAGTTATGATTGCTGTTTCTTGGTTGGTGGGCAACCTTCTTCAAACTTTGTGATTCTTTCCTTTTAACCGGGACCATTCAGGCTGTGTCACTGCACCTATGCCAGGCATTGGCAACGTGGGAGCTTGTAGCCCTTTCTGTTCAGGGTGCATCTCA